TGTATTAGTGTTAATAACCACAATCATATTGTTTAAATAACATCGATTCAGTAATAATAGTACCAATGGATTACAGCTGGATAGCATCAATGAAACAGAAAAATTTAGGAAAGATAATAGTACAGATTCGAGAAATCATAATCTGCAATAAACGCCAGCAAGGACAGTATTAGTAGTGGTTAGATGTACTTCTTTTGCAAACGAAGCACTGGTTGTTTACCGCGAATTGCAATAGCCTATGCTTTTTGAAGTATACCGTACTTGCATGTTTCTGGCAATTATTTTTGTATTGGTAGATGGTGGAGAGGGATTTTTCAATATTGGTTTTGTGTCCGGTTTGGACCAAGTGGTCTAATATCGAACTTTTGATGGTCTCTCTACTACACCTTTACTTAGCCACACTGGTAGATTTTCCCGAGCACGAGAAATCAAATCCCTAGAGCTACGACCAGTATAACCTGCTTCACCACAAGCGCATCTGAATTGGTAGATACAGTTAGAATTAGATAGTCAGGTCATGTTTTCTGCACGACAGATAGTTATTCTTCGATTAAAAGATGAATTACCAGACTAGCTAGTCCATGAGTGGCTATCTTGATTCACGACAGACTACCAGTGATTATTGTGCGACAGAAGCAAGTCAAGACAATACTAATGCACTGGCTGGCATTCACTGGAGACTAAAAATTCGTGAATTTGTATTGTTATCTTTCATAATTTTTCTGATATTCGGCGTGTATCGTTATATTGATGCCATCGAAATGTAATCCGTTGATATTATTATTATTGATTCGATGTCATTTAAACAACATTAATGCTGTTAATATAACTAATTGATTCACTACTATTGTGTATATATATCTGTAGAAGCTGATGTTATTAAAAATATTCTTTGTTCAGTAGCCATTCTTTTGGTAAATTTCCGTGAGCATTTTTAACCAGTTAACAATAGAATTACCAAAAGGATATAGCTCTTTAATATTCGTCGTACGAGCAGTGTTACCGGCTTTTAAATAACAAACAATTGGTACGGCAGCCTACGTTTATCCAGTTAGCTCCCCAAACAGCCCTGCTGACGAGTCAAGGTATACTGTTTATCAATTCTGATATCACATATTCTAAACTACCTGAAAACTAAACGCATAATCCTATACACAGCTTACTGTTGATTGTAAACATACTGTCTGTATTATTATTTGTCAGAGCCAAGCCATTTCAAACCATTTTTATGAAAACTGTATGACCAGAACTATCTAGAAAGATAGTAATGACATCAATTTATTCATTTCTTCTCTTGCTAATATGAATCTCAGGATTTTCCAACCCTATTTCAGAACTGATAAGTTGACATCTGAAGTTTATTCAATTTAAGTAGACGATGATAGCGAAGACACCTGACAACTTGAAAAAATAATTATGCTTTCTTTCCCTAGCTTCCGACCGACTAAGATAGGCTGATAAAATATGCGGTATTATAGTTTTATGCATTCCATGTGGAACTTAGGATTTTAGGCTTTCAAAGCCTCGGTAACATCGGTGCTGTTTAATACATGATTGAACTGACAATTTCACGTATTTGTTGCTTTGCTTCTAGACTTCCTGCCAGCTAAGGGAAGTTGATGAATGTACTGGTCGATAATGGGATAAGTAGAAGTACTAGGTTCATTAGGTTGACTACCTCCCATCACAGTGCATCTCATTCCTATTGAAAATTATTCGTAAGCCTGAATAAAGTGTCTGATTAAAGTAGTCCTTGCTAACGCAGTTTTCAACTTTCAAAGCTGATGAGGTCTAGTAAGCATGAAACCTAGGTCCATAGATCCCATCAGCTTCCTTCAACCACCTGACCTCTTAAAATGAATGACCGACTAAGACACTACTCTCTGATCTGAATTTAGAATATAAGCAGAATCGAATCAATCGATAGTTTCTAGTCCTCTTTTCAAAAGTCAAAATACAGGCACTCTATTTCACAATAACTTATCACATTTCAAACCAAACATGTGACTTATGAACAATTATTTTACCAGAATGAAATGCATTAAATCTATCCTTGTAAAAATTCTTTATTCACGATAACTTCTACTGCAAGTAGATTCTGATAACTGTTGGCATACATTTTCAATTACTTGTAATTAATGGCTAGCTTTCACTTCATTTTCGTAGCCTAGTGTGTGTGCATTTTGTCTCCTTTATTCAGGAGAAAATTCAGTTCACATACTAAAATTATATCCATGACGTTTAAAGTCATTTGAGGGTGTGAGAAATCTGTAATCATTAATTTAACCATTCGTTAAAGAGATGACAAATGCACGCCTTCCTTTTGAATTGGTACATAACTCCTAATCATGAACACGAGATAATGCAATACAAAAAATCATAGACTTAAATTTAATGACGACGTCTTCGTGATTACTGCTTTTTTGAATGTAAAATTAATGCAGAGAAAAAAAGATTGCCCTTAGGTCTATCCTACTATTCACATACTAATGAATACAGCTCATTTATCTCAACCTGAAAAAAATATGCAATTAATCCTAAACATGAAATAACTGTGAGAGAACGTGCTTGAATGTTGTTATTACATAATACCTCTATGGATTTAACATTTTTTATCAGTCTATTTTGTGAATTGAACTCATCCTAACTCACCCTTAGAGGAAGTTTTTACACTTAGCCATAGTATACAAAGCCATTTGCATATTCCCAGTACGAAATCTATCATTAACTGATGTTAGTTAGACAAGCACTGACAATTATACACGCTTGTTTCGTCCCCTTACTCGGTAATCCACCAGAGATTGAACTGAACACCGTCAGGTAATCAAATCAAATAACTAGGCAGTCATTCATATAGTCGACTGGAATCCAGTGATTTGTGAACTCTAACTTCTGCGAAACCTGTCACCAGATACTACTTGTCAGTAAGAAATTAGTAACCCCACAATGCAGCTCTCCTTTTATTTCTCCGTGTTGCACACGTGCGATGAATCGAAGATTAGGACGAAAAGGCTGTTCATTACTGTTTCGTTTCTAAAGAATCCCTTCATAACGTTTATTCGTGATGACGATTACACTGGATTTAATTGAAGTTCCCTAAAATTCAAAGCCCAAAGACAATTCAGTGAAGGCCAAACAGTCGCACTGATATTTGCCGAAAATGTAATAGAAGGTGACATAATTGATACAATTACTCAGAATTGGCTTTAGGCATTTACATAAAAGTTGTCTGTCTGTCTGTCTGTTTTCGACATAGAACTTTGCACAAATGTGCGGAAGTTCAAGTCGCCACATTCCGTGTAGCACGCGAAGCAAGAGAAGAAAGTACAAGAAAAGCATAATAGAGACAGTGAGCAGAGGTGTGAGACAAAGGAGTAATAAAGAAATACAAAACAGTTTCATTGAAGATCATAAGTCACAGGGAGTGGATGCATCTGCGCCACTGAGAACGGTTATGAGCCATGTCACCAATTGTTTCCAACCATAGATTTTTACCGTCCCGAGGACCCCAACCAGTCAGGAAGTCTACACCTTCCTACGTGGCTGGCTTAGACCAACTGTTGTGGATTTCATTGACTGGTAAGGCCAAGTTTTTGTTTGACCTCCGCTAGCTTTTTTCCAGCCTGACCCTATATCCGCTAACATTGCTCGTCGAGGGAGGCGATGGCTTGGCATACGTAACACATATCCTAACCATCTCAGTCTTTGTAGCTTCACGACTTCGTCGATTGATTTCCCCTGTTTACCTAGAACTCTACGCCTAACCTCCATGTTGCTCACCTTATTATGCCACTTTACACGGGAAATAGAACGCAGGCACCTATGATCAAAGACAGCTAGTCTTTTCATGTCTTCCACTCTCAGTGGCCAGGTCTCACAACCATAAAGGAGGACGGAGCGGAGTGATGAGCAGTACACCCGCCCTTTGGTCGGTAGTCGAACATCTCGTCTACGCCAGAGTCGGCGTAAACTGGAAAATGCGAAACGAGCCCCTGTATTCGTGCTGAGGTTGTAAATTACGTAGTACTCAACGGCACAAAGAAAGCAAGTATTAGAAATTTGTTAAGGTTAAAATTGTTATTGAGTAAGAAGAAAGGTAGTTGAGTGTCGATTTAACAAGTGTGAAGAGGGTGATAAGACGTACAAAAAGAACATGCGAGAGTGATATTAATGAATTAATTAATAAAGTAAAAGCAAACTTAAAGTAAAATACGAAAATAAATTAGAAAATCTTCTTGGCAAGGAACAACTGGTGAAGAGGTGGAGACCATGGTAGAATAGGCGACTAGATAAAATTTCTCCGTATACAGAGTTTGGGATTTCATTAACCAAGTGCCAGTAATTCCGCCATACAAAAAAGCCAAAACCTGATGCTTTTTGTCCCATTTGGCCTCACATTGCGGATATTCTTGAAAGACGACTGCTGGGGAACTACTTGGCTTGAGATCATCAAATGCCCGAGTAGCTGTCTTGCATTGTCCTTTTGCTAACAACGCTGGCTAATGTTCAGAAATGCGTTTCGAAAGTGTGCGCTTAATGCGGCTAATATAACTAGCTCCACACGAGCAGGTGAATTCATGAACACCCATTAAAGTGGCCTAAGGCGGTAGTTTGTCCTTCACACATCCATTAATCATTTGTCAGCTGTAGAAATTTTTCTGTAGCTCAGCCGAAAACAAGGCTTTTCTCAGTGTTCTGTATAGGCAGTTCTTCAGGATCTCAGCTGCCGTGTAACCTTTAAATTTCACCTTCATAAATAGCAGTTTCTTCGGCTTTTCCATGAATCCCATATTTTTCTCGATGAATCTTGGAGAATGTCCATTTTCTATGAGGAATTGTCTGATTGGCTCTAGTTCCCTGTCGACTGTATTACTGGCAGAGATATATCCTTCTCATTCTTGAGGATAAGGAATGGAGCCAAAATTTGAAGATTTCGAAAGTTGTTCTAATGTCTGCAAGAGTTTATTAAGTATGCATTTGTGTCATTTGTCTGTTTTTAGATTCTGATGAAACTCCTTTCAATTATTCCGACATAGAAATGGAAGAATGGGATAACAGCACTTTAGAAGAGGATAATTCACACATTGACAATACAGCTGAACATTTTGACTTATCGGTCAGTCCATCATCTTTAACAAATTTAACAAAGCAAAAAGTTGATATTCATTTGGATTCTAATACAAATTTACGATTTTTAAAATATTTTGTCGGTGAAACAATTCGTATGCGTTGTATTATACCTGATGGACCATATGTGGTAAGTTGATATTCATAATATACGATAAAATAATGTGCCTTAACTATTATGTTGATAAGGATCGATTGAGGTTAACCTGATAAAGTAGCCTACTGAGAGAATTAAAATACAAAGAAATTATCGTTTTGATCGCGATTCATAGAATAAAGCAAAATTCCACGATAAGGTGGAACAGACATGCTGCTGTAATAAGTATTATATATAGGCAGTAGGAAAGTTTGATCAGTGAACCTTTCTTCATAGAATCTGCTCGCATTTCGTGCAGCAAGGACATCACAACACTGATTCCACAGTTAGTACTACCAGAAAACTCAGGGGTAAGAATTAATGGAAGTATTCAAACAATCTCTAAAAGTTAAATGGAATAAATTGAACTTTCAAAGGTCATCAATGAATAATATCTTGTCAAGGTGTATATTCTGTGCTTATAAGTGACCTGAGAAGACTTCAGTCCTTCTGTTGAAGTGTTGGTATGTTGCTCGGTGTTCATAGCCTTTTCCAGGGAAGTACTACTCATTGCCTTCATGTGGTGGGGTTGTCACTCAAAAAAGTGAAAGGATGAAGCCTAGAACCTGACTGGTCGACACGCTTGTCTACATAATGTAATGTCTACATTATGTAAGGATTCCAGAACCTGAACAGGTCAAAAGGCATATGAACCTGTTTCGATCATTGGCAACAAAAGGGATGCAGCTCGCGTCTCTACTTCACTGCCTTGGAGAGCATATTTCGAGTCAAAGGTTCAAGGTTATAATCATAAGACAATCACTTGGTCAGGTCTAATTGTCTCGGCAATATCTCCATAACTATGAGATTATGAGTGGCGTATCTCTTGGCTTCCATAACGATAATAAGAATAAAAAGTTGCTTTTTTATCAAATGAGATTATTTGATAGGCGAACGTGTTCTCTAGGTATCCATTTTAGTGTACTATTTCAGTGCATACTGCTGCAGGCTACCTGTCTACAAGGATAAAACCATTAGGATCAGAGAATATCTCTTTGGATATGAAAAGTCTGTATAATGTTGTTGCAGCATATTACACCGTTCACACAACTCATATCTAAAGTAATATTTAACAATTTCTTCACAAGAGGAGATTGTTCTTTTGATTCATTAGTGTTGCAAGTGAAAAATAAGGCTTCAAGCCATTGAGGTTTCAAGAGACATAATGTATTTTTTACAGAACCCAATTCCTAGCTTTGAACTTAACCTTCTTTCTTTTAAAAAGTAAGTGAGGTTAAGGAGCACACTAGCTGGAAATCGAGCCGTGCATCGCTGGAGAGTATTCTGATATTTCTACGCCAACACACTGGATGGTATCACATGGTTGGAGGCAATCGGCAGAAAGCCTTGGGTCCACGCTTAGTGCTAGTTGGCACTTACTAGTCAGCAAGGCACATCTGCAAATTTGAAGGAACTCATTTCACTTTTGAGATTCAAACCCGCGTCATCCGGGTGTACTGCAATCAGAGATGTTACCATTTAGCTATTCGGGCTTGCGACTGACTGTACTGGATACTTTTGATTGGACATTAGCCAAAAACAAGAGTAATTCATCTGGTCCTTTGTTTAGTGCAGACTGAATTACAGATACGCCTTGCTGATGAGTACCAGCTAGCACGAAACCTGGGTCCAGGGCTTCCTACCGATTACCTCTAACCATCTAATACCACTAATTTACAGTGCACCATGATGGCGAGCCATCTAGTGTCTTGGTGGGCACATTGCGAACATGACTGACTCATAGACTTTAGTCTACACTAGACAAAGGACCAGATACATTACACTTCTTACTAGCTAGCGTTCATTTAAAAGCATTCCATGGTAGTTTGAAACTTATTTCCCATTTTGATAGAATATTGTCATTATTGTCATTATCATTGTCAATAGAAAATATTTTAGATTTTAATTTTACAGGTCAATGCACTGACCTTTTCTCCCTCGTAAGGTGAAATAGACAAAACGATGTAACAAGGGAATGTAACAATCACTCAAGTTGTTTGAAAATGAATTCTTGAAATAGTTCGACAGAAAAATACAAACGTTATTTATCATCATTTCAAAACGTTTATGTGTCATTTGTTTTCCCTATTTGTTTCCCCATAGCAAGACATCTCCATGAAGTATGCTGAGGTTTAGCTGTCAGTATTTTATTCACTTCTCATGCCAACAGATAGATCGCCTGCATTGTACCAGTTAAACTGATGATAAATTCTAATTGAATTTCAGATCTCGTTTTTCAGTGTAATTATATGAAAGCGATCAATTTTTCTTTTTAAACAAAGCAACGTTTCTATCAAATTCAATTGCTCATTAAATTTCAAAAATAAAAATAATGCCAGTGACCGTTTCTAACTAACCGTGAAAATTTTATTTCATTTCATGAAAGAATGATTTCGTCTGATATTGGTTAGCATCATATGATTATGAAGTTTTAATCCATCATACTATGCAACATTAATCAACAGAGTCTAGAATGACAGTTAAAGCTGTGACTTAACATCATTGACTTTGAAAAGCTTTTAGATAATGTCAGTTGTGAAATAATTTGAAAGCTGCTAAAATTAAATTTGCAAAGCCTAAAACCTTTATCTACACCAGTCAGTAGCTTAATGACAATGTCAAATGTTAAGTGATCTACAGTGGAAAGCACAGAGGATCCTATGGAGTGAATTTGGGTGTATGATCAGACTACATTACCGATGACTTCCTCCATTGTGATGAAATAGATTGTGCTTTAGAGAGAGGGATATTCAGAGAAGTAGACTTTACAAAGAATTTATGTCAAATGTAGCAGAAAGTCAAAGATTTAAGAAAGACATAGTAGGGGTTCAACTCCCGGTGGACGATTTCCTTTGCCTCTATATGCCGTAGTAAGACCGGTAAAGAGGGACGGCTAAGCATGGGACCAGCAATCTCATCCTGCAAATTACAAGATCCGCTGCTAATGAGACTTCAAAGGTGCAGCTGGATACCCTATTTTTCAACAGGATTGCTATAGGAAAAAACAAAAAACAGTGGGTTCACGACTTAGGGTGAGCACTGAGGATGCAGATGTGATGAAAGTACCCATGAAACATCACAAAACATCAATTACAGTCAGTGTGAGAACTCTTATTTACAAACTCATCTCAGAAGCATTGTCCTAATTTCAGTTAAGGGGTATGTATTAAGATATAAAAGGCAAGATGAGTCGAGGAAAGCAAGGCAAGCTTTCTTAACTGGAAAATCTACGTGGGCGTCTGCAGTCTTCGGCATATAGAATGATTCCTGAATTTTCAACAATATGTCAATCGACTCATTGCTTTTGTTTGCTTCAGAGGCTTTACTTGTGAGTCAACTAAAATATTTCCAGCAGACTGCTGCAAACGTTTATGAACACCTGGCTTTCCTTGATATTGAAGAAAGCCGACCACAGAGAACAAGGAACTAGGAAGTCTGGTAAAGAACTAGCCAGTATTTAATTCAACATCCTGTATATATGGATAAGGAAATATAAATGAGTTCGCTACTGTTTAAGAAGACCGTTGAGTAGACTTGGAAGCTATGAGTCAGACATGGGTCTTTAAATGACAATGAGTGAATTATGTGAATGGCAAATAAAAAATTGTTGACGGTCGCGGAATCGTTTATTTGAGGGTGACAGCTAATAACGGAGTAGAATATAAATGTACTCATGAATTCCTCTATTCCAATCGTAAGGCGAAGAAACAATCCCAATGATATCTGCAGTAGATGTGTCAAATTCTGATTACTTAATAATCTAATAAAACGGCTGACTGACAAATGGTCATGAATAAACAATCATAGCTGTATTGATGTTGTAGGGAATTTTGTTTGATTGGTTGTGGGATTTTATCGTTAGCTGATATCAGTTAAAGAACCACTGAAAAACCTACAGATAGTACTGGACATTAGTATTCACACACCGAAAAGGTTAGACCCAAGAACCTTCTGGTTACAAGGCGAGGTCGTAGACCATTAGGCCAATGGAACCCAAACCAATAGCTAGCCAATGAATTCCAACTTCTGCATGCCAATTCTTAATGTCTTTTCCGATGAGTTATCGCCTCACCTTCAACTTGCTGTACCCTAATGGTCACGGCTTCATACTAGAACCTCAGGTTAACTGCCTGAATGAGGCCCATGGCTTGACAGTTATTCTGATCCTCACTAGCAACTAGAGCTATTCAGGTGCAAAAAGTGGGGTTCTAGTGGGAGGCCTTGACCATTAGAAAGAGGCGGTAACTCAGTGAAGAAGACATTACAAAGTTGTTGCACTATGTCATGCGTTGGCAGGCAGAAGTTGGATTTCATCGCCTCGCCATTGGATTGGGTCCCAGCGGCTTAGTGATCTACGAGCTTGCTGACCTCGTAACCATAATGTCTTGGATTAGAACATAGGTCTCGGGTGCGTACTGCGGAAGAGTCTCAAACTAGAATGAAATGGCTGGTTGTCTGGTACTCCCAGGTTTTCCATTAGTTCACTAACTGATATCAGCTCATGGTAAAACGTTCCAATTAATCTTTGTTGGAAACATCAACATCTATTACATATGATTTAGAATAGAAGCGCAGCTTTACAGTTGGCAGCTAATTCACAGGGTCTTGTCAGAGATTATGCTTGAATTCCAGTAATCATGCACCTTCAAAATCTGTCAAGAAATACTATTTTGATGGCGACTAAAAACTGCTCACTAACCAATCTTTTAACACTTTGTCTACCAAAATAGTTAGTGATATCCAAAAGGAAAATGTTGTCATTTTGGATGTCCCCCTGTTACAGGGCTGGAAGTCGGCATGTGAATGAAAGCACAGCATTTATGTTGAGTGCACTCACTGTACCAGGTAGCCGTTCCAAACTAGTAGCTTGGTGACTGAGTCTTTGACGTTTAAAACAGTGAGGGCTTGATTTCAGTCTCAGTTAAAACAATATCACTGATTAGCGTTCAGGTTCATCTAGCTAACGAATCGAGAATAGGCCGAAACCTGCATTCTGAATTGTTCATTTGGCTCTCACAAAGCGGATTAAACATCTTTCAACTACTTCTGAAGGTAAAGTCTATTTTTTTGTTGTCATTTTGTAGGTGATATGGAATAAAATCGGTATGGAGTATCCTCTGACAATTGGTAAACGAAGATTTATACCAGACGACAGAATCAGTGTAAAATATAAGCCACCAGATAGATGGAGACTTCGTATAAGGAGCGCCAGGTTAACTGACAGTGGTGTATATACATGTACAATGAAAGCAATACACAAAGAGAAAGGTGAAGAGGATAATTCGACTCAGTCAAATGATAATAAATGGTCTTGTGACAAAATGAATGATAATAGTAACAGTCAAGATATATCAGAAAATTCAACTTTAAAACCAAGCAATCCTGACTATTACATAACCGTAGGTTAGTGCATTTAGATTCTTATTTTGCCTAATTTTGCGTTTTTCATTGATCGATAATGTTGGATCTAAATCTTCGGTCTTCGTTGACATGCCAGATTGTAGTATATATTGGATTTTCGGATGTATGGCGAATAAAGTGATGTGAATGGTGAATAGCGAATTGTATAGTGGATGGTGTTTAAACCTTTTAAATGCTGGGTGCTAAGTTCAAATCCCATTGGGCAAAGCACCACTCAGTGATGACAGTAATAACATTCAGTTGAGGAGTCCTAAATAGGAGGAAATTCACATACTGGATTCCAGTGATATTCATTGCTGTTAGAAAGTTTTGTGTTCCCAGTGAAACATAGGCTTTCAAGATACAGGCTTGAAGTTTAGGCAGCAGTGGTGCTTATTTTACGGGATGAGGTAGCTAGCCTCATGCCCAACCTTCCCTCTCTACCAGTCTTATTACTGGCTTAGTGAGGCTTGAGAATGCCTCAACCGAGGACCGAACCTCGGACTACCTGAGGGGTGGTTGGCGAGCATTCTACCGCTGTGCCATCGACTCGAACTCATGGCCCTGAGATGAAGAGTTGGATGATCTGCTTATTGAGTTGGCTAGTCGAAAGAAGAGTAGGCCTTAATTTACAAAATCTCTGTACATGTATTTAGTAACTTAATCATGGTCCCTTTGTATACTGTTATTATGCATAAATGATTAAGAAATAACAGTAGGCCAAATTTAGCAGGCCGACCATTGATATCAGGTGTGCGTCAGCCACGGATCGAATCCCAGACCATATGCCTGGTCGGCGAGCGTTCTAACCAATGTTCCAACTATAGAGTTGAGTGGTGGCTAATTTTGTCCTAGTAAACTGCCTCGCTTCTACTATGAGGCATTATTTATTACTTTTGTAAAACGCGTCACGATAGAATTCGATCTTGTGACCTGATAATACAACATGTGTGAAATAGAGTTTAAAGGACCAAATCCCTAAAGATTCTCTATGTTATTATGTCTGCAAAATAAAATGCTTGGAATGTGATGCGATCGATATACATCGGCGAAACCTCGACAGAAATCAAAATCAAAAGAAATGAACACCGTAGAGCATCTATTCAACCACCGAGAAGTACGACTGAACTATAAAAGCTTCAAAAATCATCAGCCATAGCTCGTCCACACGCTACAGAATCAGGCCACAAAATTGATTTTGACAATATTGAAATAATCATCCAGAAAAATAATTTCAGAAATCACAAAGAACGCCTAATATCAAAAGCACTTCATATCAAGTGGAATCCAAATTGTCTGAATAGGAATCATGGAATAAAACAGAATCTGACCTGGTTACAACACCCCACCTCCTCCATGAAGTGACAAAATCAGCACGAATGTGATAAGCAATATCATTATATAATCACACACTGTTTTATAATTTTACACACTGATCAAATCTAACCATCTACACCTAGTTTTTTATCTTTACCAATTGACCAACTTGACAAAGCAAAAATGACGCCATACTGACGAAAGATGATCAAGTTAGTAAACTTTATTTTGATATCATAACAGACGTACGTACGATTACCTCTGTTATTTGGGTTAGTGTCCTTCATTATTATTTTGACTTTCAATATGTCCTTTTAACTTGATCTTAGTCTATTTTCTCACCTCTCAACTCTTTGTTATATATATATATATATATATATATATGCTGAGATTTTGTAAATTTCGGTTTAATAATACTTTGATAAAGCTGTTAGCAGCAGCATTAAATAGGGAAACGTCAGTAAAAACAGCAATATCGTTTTGTTTTTGCTTCATTGGGAAATACAACAAACCTTTATTATAATGAATATCATATACCGAATGTACAAATTTTTTTCAAACTGTTAAAAGTGAACTTGGTTTGGACATATATAGGGTTTAACCCTGTACCCAAAATGCTCCCATCTGTTAACTTTGTTAATTTAAAAGAAGTTAGCACTTTCAGTATATAAACACATATTTTCAAGTCGAAAACTTTCTACACTTCTGTTAAGTTGATTAATTGATTAACTTGACAATACAGAACTTTGTCAGAGAGAAGAACCATTACCAAATAACGATATTTTCTTTCATTCCTTTGCTATCTGAGTTGAACATTGGCCTTCAAGCTAGGAAATATGAAATTTTGAGTATCGCTTGCGTTCTTTTTACGAGGTGAGAGCAATAGACTCATGTCTATCCTTTACTCTTTGCTACACTAGGTTTAGAAGTATGCCATCCGTGAAAGAAATCAGAGCCCGTGAATGGTTGAAAGGTGGCATATGAAGACTTCAAACAAAGGTTTATAGTCATACACTCTGGTTGCCTAAGTGATGACGTTAAAACTTATACTGACTTTGAATAGTTACCATTTTAAGCCTATAAAGTACCTAATGAGAATAAAACACCGCTGGTGTTAAATCAACCTTGGAGTACAAAAATTCAGTGACATACAGCAGTTGAAAAGAAGCTTATGACAGCTTGGTGTGTAGTGGAATCGAACTCACGATCTGAAAATCGAATGGTTCCAAGGGAAATTTCGACGTAATTTTCTGTAGAGATACAAGTTGTTCAGGTCATAATTTGCAGTCAGCTTGCTACTTTGAACGGTAGTCAAGAAGGCGAGCATCACTGGTTGGCAATACATACTACTGCATGACTGGAATGAGTGTATGTGTGCCACTCACAGAAGTAGTTGTTGTTGTGCTTGTTAGACATACTGTAGTGATGTAAACACCAGAGCGCCGTTTCATGCATCTGGATTTGAGCCCACACCCAACTTTCCATTTTTTCTATACTTACCAACTAGTAGTAATATAGGCGATGTTTACCACTGTGTCATCCAGGAGTTGAACTCCGACCTTTCCCACAGTTGACCACTGATCTTCTACAGTGCCTAAATGTTCTCATCGTATTAATTAGTATTCAAAAGTTAGTGTGAAGGGATTTAATTGGTTCCAGGATGTCGTCATGTACTAACGTCGGCTAGAGAACCATTAGAAAATCTGAGAGTATTGGACAACTCTTTTGTCGTAGTTCAGGACTCTTCAGCATTGTGCACCCACTGAGATTTTTAACCCAGCACCTTCTGGTTATAAGGCGAGCTCGTAGACCATTAAGTCACTGGGACCGGATCGAATAGTCCATGGATTTCATCGTCTGCCAATTCATGACACGACGGAATCACTAGAGAATGTCACCCGTGGTAAGTATTTGTCCTCACACCCTACCAGGTGTACCCCACTAGATCCCAGGCAGGCAATACCTGCCTCAGTATGGCTATTCGCTAGCAAGCATCAAATTGATATTCAAGTGTTGGTTCACAGGGATCTTAATGTTTTTGGATTTTCTCACTGACTGACATCCGTTAGAGGACCATTGTTATCATTTAGTAACTAAAACGATATATATTGCTAGTGAGATTGAAAGATATTATGAAGTGAGTGATTTATATATCCTTTAACAAGCTGTATCGTTTCAAATCATATGATCTGGGTTGATAAGTGTTTTCCCAGTACTCAAACAACTATTATTGACTAAAACATCATATTATGCTATTGCGTATCTCATTGTTTTCAATTCATTTGTTGGTTTATTTAAAGTCAGCTTAACACTTCATCACTGAATGACAGTTAAACTCGATCTCATGAGCATGCATGTTTTCAGGGCTTTGTATTTCAATGTTACGGTGACAGGAACCTGAAAGGTTTGCATTCATCTGTTTGGAGAAGCTTCCAGATTAATTTTTTCCTGCAATAGATCACTTTTACCACTTTTATTCCGTTTTTAAAAATGAGTTTATATATGAAATAAGAATAAAGTAATAGGATGAATCATTTTTAGATAAAACAATTAGTTTTTCCAAGCAAGATAGATTATTATTATTTTATCCTTTAGTTCCTAGAACAAAATAGGGCTCCAGCTGCGCACCTCCACTGCCTTCTGTTTTCTGACAACCTTTTTACCCCGCTCCAAGTCTGCACACATGCTTTCATCTCCTCCTCACATCACCTCCTCCAAGGCACCCTTGCACTGACGACCAACTCACCGCCTCCCTTTCGGGTTCCACTCGAGCAATGGCTTGTCTAGTCATGTCACTTGATGGTTTCCTCAGCGTATGATCAATCCATCTCCATTTCTTCCTGCCTATTTGTTTCACAATCGGTTCCTGCAGTGTTGGTTCGCTCATTGCCAGAGATCCCTGTTGCTGATGTTTTCTGGCCGGCCATCTGATCTTGAGCGTAGTATTGAGCGAAGACAGCTGTTAATGAAGGTCTGTAATTTGTTTGAGATGCTCTTTATGACGCGCCAAGTCCCTGATCCGTATAGAATCACTGACTTTACATTGGAGTTGAAAATCCGGATCTTATTTTTGATGATAAGTGCTGTTGACTTCCACACAGACTTAAGAGTAATGAAAGCCTGCCTTGTTTTTCCGATTCTGACTTTGATATCCTCGTCAGTTCCGTTAACCTGTAGTTGAAACGATGCTTCCCAGGTAGGTGAAGGAGGTTGTTTCTTTCAGGTTCCTCCCATTTATGCTGGCTGACTGTTGTCTGTTGTTGTTGCTGTTGGTGTTGGTCAGGAATCTTCATCACCTCTGTTTTATCAATGTTCACTTGAAGTCCTATCTTCTGTGGATGCTTCTTCTGCCAACTTGTTGCTTTTCACTTGCATATCTTCCAGTTTGTGGGAAATCAGACATATATCATCGCTGGCGAAGTCCAGATTCTCCAAGTCTTTTGTGTGAGTCCATTTTACGCATGTTCCTTCATTGGTTGCCGGTTGTCTGTCACATTATCCAATCTACTGCAATCAGGAAGACCATTGGTGACGGTAGACAGCCTTGCCTCACTCCCGTCCTCACTTCAAAGGTCTCCGTAAGTTTTCCGTTGTGGATTACTTCGCATGCAGCATTGTTGTATAACTGTTGGATGAGATGTATAATTGTCGATGGGACCCCGTAGTAGCGAAGTAGTTTCCAAATC